TGCATTGATGTAGCACCTCATGATCTCATGCCTTCAGTTATTTAAAATTTCTTGAAAGGTGGTTGTTGTTGTAATGAGAAAAAGGCAACTAATTTGCATTTGCAAGCAAATAGTGACCAGATAATCTGATATTTTCTGCAAAGAAGGGTCATAGCATAGAATCCCTACAATGTGGAAACAGGCCATTCAATCCAACAATGACTCTCCAAAGAACATTCCTCCTGGACTCAAACCCCTATCTACCCTTGTATTTCCCATGTCTAATGCACCTAACCTACACATCCCTGGACAGTATGGGCAATTAAGCATATCCAATCCACCTACCCTGCACATCTTTGGACTGTGGGAGGAAACCTGAGCACCTAGAGGAAACCTACACAGACACGGGGAGAATGTGCAAACTCCACACAGACGGTCACCCAAGGCTGGGATTGAGCCCAGGTCCCTGGTGCTGTGAGGCAGTAGTGCTAACCACTGAGCCACCGTGTTTTAGCGTCTGGGGGATTGAACCCACAACTTTCCAACTCAGAGAATTATGTGGTGTCTGCCGAGCTGTTACTGTCACCGGAGATGAAATGTTAATTCTCCCTTTCTCTTCACAGATAGTGCCAGTCCTGCTGAATTTCTCCAGCAATTTCTGTTTTTGTTTCAGATTTTCAGTATCTGCAGTTGTAAGTGTTATGATATTGTGATGTTTGTTTAAGTGTAAATAATTCACCAGGATACCAGAGAGAATGACCCTGCTCTGTCCACCTGTGAGGGAAGAAGGGGCCTTGCTTTAACATCTTGTCCAAAAGATGAAACACTACCTTAGTATTTCACTGAAGTGTTAACCTATATTATGGGCTCATGTCTCTGGAATGGCCTTAAACCCACATTCTTCAGACTCAAACAAGAATGCTACCCACAGAGCCAAGCTGACTCTCACCATCTTATTGTGCAATCATTTACACAAGTGCCAATGTAGTGAAACCTGGAAGTAGCCAAGGTCTTTTCCCCAGGGTAAGGGAGTCCAAAATTAGAAGGCTTAGGTTTAAGGTGAGGTGGGGGGAAGATTTAAAAGGGACTGGAGGGGCAACTTTTTCACACAGAGGGTGGTGCATGTATGGAACAAGCTGCCAGAGGAATTGATAGAGGCGAGTACAATTACAACATTGAAAAGACAGGTACATGGATAGGAAAGGTTTAGAGGGATATGGACAAGACGCAGGCAAATGGGAATAATTCACTTTAGGAAACATGGTCAGCATGGACAAGTTGGGCCAAAGGGTCTGTTTCTGTGGTGTATGACTCTATGACTCTATAAAGTCAAAGGCAAAACCCATTTGGCTCTCTTTTTGCTCGATTTCCAAAATCCCTTCCAGGCTCTCCTGACATGCTGGTTTCCCGATGACTGGACTCATTATATCTGCAGTTACACAACATTATGGTTTAATGCTCCATTTCAACTGTCTTTGCCTTACTCATGGAAAGTTTTTTGTTTCCCCCCAATAACTTGCTGATTAGTTGCCTATTGTCCAAGTAACCAGTAAAATCAGTCAATTTAAACCACCATGTCACAGGAAATCATTCTGATGGCCATTACAGCACGACCAGAAGAGACATAAATTTGGGATTGGCTAAATTCAGTGGATGCATGGCCAAGCATGTTGCTGATGGGAAGGTTTTGGGAACAAGATCACCCAGACCGAGCCAAAGGGAATCACTTCAAATCAGAGAACATTGTACCCCAATGAGGGATGTCAGTGCTAATCCTGCGGCATTCCTCCACTCACCATTGAGCAGAAAGAATAAGTTGCTAAACTGTCTTTGCTGAGGCTTATTTTAGCCTCGGCATGCCTCTAATTGCATTTGCTATGATTTACATTTCTGTTTGGACATTATCTAGGAGCTGATATCTTGACTTAAATTTAACCCCTTCCTACCTCAAAGGCTGTAGAAAGGTCGGAGAGAAAATAAATTACTGGTGTCAAGCAACCTTCCTTCAACCCAACCACTACTGGCCAGGCACTCAAACTACCCAAGAATTGGCCAAGAGTCTGTGTATTTTTAGAATAAGGTCCTACTATTGAGAGAGGCACGGCCCTCCAGCTCCACACTTATCTCTGACTCCAGCATCAGCAGTTCTTACTATCTCTGACCTTTACATCTATGGAGTTTTATGGATTCTTCCCATTACTGGGCCCTTGTTAGTGTCAGTAACTGGTTAAATCTATTCCTGGAAGTTCCATCCCACACTACAGTCATTAGTGGCTTCTTTGTGACACACTGCTTTCCTATCCCAATTGGAAAGCAAAACAATCTCATTACCCAATTGGATGATGTTTACTTGTCAGCTAAATAGCCTTTTTAACAGTTTTTCAATATTTTTACATCCAGTGAAGAGAAAGTGACAAAAAGTTTTTTCATTGTTCCTATGGTTTTTCTACAGATTTAGACACAGCAGGGTCCTGGAGATCAATTTTTATTTCTTGAAGGCTCCAATTCTGGAGAGTTGTTAACCCTCACCCTTATATGGGATAACTCCTATGTGATGTCCTGTGTTAGAATAACAGACTGTGGCCAACATCAATTAATAGTATTGGATGACAGAGAGAGGTCAAAGCTGTCTGGAATGATCAGTTCAAATTATTTTAAAACATAGCATGGTGAGGTGATTCTGTGAATCATTGCCAAGTAGAAATTCAAGGTTTCTTTAATGCAAATTAATGGTGTGGCACTTCTACCAATTGATGTGTGAAGACCATTAGAGAAAATAAAAATTTATCTTCTACAGTTCTTGTTTTCTACATTACTTATCACAGATTTGATACATTCATTCCAAGAGAAAAGCAAAACTGCTCGTATCAGTTCAGTTAGTGGTTAGGAAAGCAAATGCAATGTTAGCATTAATTTCAAGAGGGCTAGAATAGAAGAGTAGATGTACTGCTGAGGCTGTATTACGCACTGGTCAGACCACATTTGGAATATTGTGAGCCGTTTTGGGCCCCATATCTAAAGCAAGATGTGCTTGCACTGGAGGGAATCCAAAAGAGGTTTACAAGAATGATCCTGGGGATGAAGGGCGTGTCATATGAGGAGAGTGAGTGCCCAGTCTATTCTCGATAGAGTTTAGAAAAATGGTGGGGAGGGTGAATCTCATTGAAACTTACAGAATACTGAGAGGTCGGGATAGAGTGGGCATGCAGAAGATGTCTCCACTAGCAGGAGAGTCTAGGACCCTTTAGAACTGAGATGAGGATGGATTTCTTTAGCCAGAGGGTGGCTAATCTGTGGAACTCATTGCCGCAGAGGGCTGTGGAGACCAGGTCATTGAGTATATTTAAGACAGAGATAGATAGAGTCTGGATTGGTAAGGGGATCAAGGGTTACGGGGAGAAAGCAGGAGAATGGGGTTGGGAAACATATCAGTCATGACCAAATGGCAGAGCTGACTCAACGGGCTGAATGGCCTAATTCTGCTCCTATATCTTATGAACTAATGGTCTTATTATAGATTAAAATAATTTAAAAATTACTTAACATTTTTAAAGAGAAAGACAACACTAATGATGAAAATGATAACAGGGCTTAAACACTTACAAATATAAGTTTCATGAATGTCGCTTCTCTTGATCTAAGTTCTCGAACAATTACAAAAATAGTCTGAGACCGAAGATAGAAACTATTTCCTCTGATCAAAAATACCCAGAACCAGAAAACATAACCTTAAAACTAAAGCTAGTTCATTTGCAACTGAAATCAGGAAGTACCTCTTCATAAAAGGGAGGGAAAATCTGGAAGTCTCATCTCCCACCGTGCTATGGAAGCTGAGGGATTTGCAATTTTCAAGACTGAGGTTTATTGGCTGGGATTTTCCAATCTGTGCTGTCAGTGTGGGTGCCATGACATGCAGGACACCCACCACCATCACAAATGGATGCCTATCAGGCACTGAAGTGGTCACCAAGCTGAATTTTGGCTCATCACATCCTGGTGCAGTAATGGTGCCGCTGGTACAACAATGCTGAAGTCCAGGAACAGCAGGGCAAGGTAGGTGACTTTGCAGAGGTGGAGGTGAGGACTGCAGGGAATAGGGGTGTGGGGGTAGGAGCCCAACCCTCGCGCCCCATCCATTTCTCCATTCAGACTAGATTAGGTCAGATCCAGTCCCCATGTCAACTCAGCAAGCAGGCCACTTTCTTTCACTCGTCAGAAAGGCTGCCACTGTTCTTGCCTGCAGGAGGCAGAGTCAATCATAGCGCTGGTGTTAAATGACTACTAAAGAGCTCCAATGGCAAGGTAGGAAAGTCAAGCTTGGGTCTCCCCACTCAGAATTTAATTTCTGTGGTGGCAGAAAGGCAGTGAGTATTTCCCTGATGCAAACACATCCAATTACCCTTCCTTCCTACCACCTTCCGTGCCACTTTTCAGGAGATAAAAATTCAACCCAATGAGTTTTGATTATTAGGTAAGGGTATCAACGCATATTAGCAAAAGCAGGTAAATGAAGTTTAGCAAGGGACAGACTCAAGGAGCTGAATGGCCTATTCCAGTTCCTACTTTTCTATGTAACCCAATTATGACACAAAGATTTCTATCAGTCACTCCTTGATCCCACACTGTTCCTGTTTTTAATTGTATCTCCAACTAAAAAGACAGACCTGACCTTTTGGCATTGCATTGAGGACCCCATCTCTTATCCATTCATTCCTTCTCAATTCAAAACCCCATTCAACAGCCTTCCACCACAAGTTACTGGGATAAACAAGCTTTTGCTCATTTTTCATGCTCTTGTGCTCTGTTTCTATGTAATATAGAGATTTTCATCCCACTTACGATCCAAACTGACCTACTGACTAATGCATTTCACTTGAGATCTTTGGCTTTCTCTGGCTATTAGTTGGCATCACTGTCTTTGATAGGAGAGGGATTCAAACTTCTGGCCTCCAAGGTCCACTGTAGCAAGGCCCATCTCAGTTCATTAATGAGGGAGGTTGAATGAAAATGTTTGTTCTCACCTGCTCTGATTTGATCTGTTCTGTGGTTGTGAAGATGTCTGAATAGTGCTGTCTTTCAAAGACTCTGTCTAACACTTCTAACTGCTGCTGTGTGAAGAGTTCACCCCTCATCTGTTTCCGCAGAAAATCCCGGCTCGGATGGGAGTGTCCGTTCTGCATGGGGTTTTCCTGAGCACCTTGACAAAACAGACACAGAGAGGCATTTAGCATATTGTGTTAAAAGACCCAAGAGAGAAAACAGGGCTGGACACATTGATGGACTATTTGAGATTTCTACTTTAGACACTGCCAAAGAAAATCTTTCTGAGCCTTATACAGTAGAATGGATTTACTTAAGCTACAAGAAGTGGATAGTGAAACTTTTGAAGGAGATCTTAACCATGTCTGTAAAATATTGAAATGTATCCTCAATCCAGCAGGTTTAATTTTTAGTATCAAATATGCAAATACTTTGAAGCATTTAGCAGCTGGAAAGATCATTTCTATTGCTAAATATTATACAGCACAGTTTGAGAAATATGACGAACAACAGGAGACTTCAACACTGACAGTGAATGAATTAAAGGAACCATATTATTACTGTTTCTTTACATGCAAATATAAAAATAATCAGCAGACCCCTACAAGGCATTCACTTTCAGATTTCCAGTTCTTCATTTCTCTCATCTGAATAAACTTTCACATCCCACCTTTCTTTTCAGCCTCCAAATGCATCTAAAGACATTACTTTTTTTATTCAAAAGTCTTCAGGGACAAAAACAAAACCAATGATCTAATTTTGTACATTATCAAACAAAACAGCCTTCTCTTCCCCAATCCATTCCACAACCACTGAACAAAAAAAATATATTTTTCACAAGGCAGAATAAAAATCAAAATTTATGATTATATTTTAGCTATATATTTATTGCACAAATTTTGAAGCAAAATCATTATATTTCCTCCAAGATAGTTACAGTTTCTCCGTAAATCAACCCGACTAAAAGATAAATCAACAGAGTTCCAAAAATACTTTTCATTTGTCCGAGATATCAGCCCATTTCAGTCATACTGATGGAGTTTCAGCTCTGTCTCCATTATAGTGAAGACAGCTGGAGTCAGGGGCTGCCTAGAGTAGATTATATTCCCTATAAGATGGTCACCGATATATGATCTTCAACCTCTATTGATTGACCAATTTCACAAGCAAAGACTGGTGAAATGAAGCTGAAATGAACATCATGCTTTAACTCATTGAACCTATCAGCCCTGACTTAATCTGGCTGTCCACTCTCTTTGATAGAATTCAATTGATCAATCATGTTTTGGTGATAGTACCATTTCACTGGCTTATTGCTTCTTCATTTCAAAGCTTGACCTGTAAGATACATTTGGACGAGCTCCATACTCCTTGGATATACAGAGATCAGCTACTTCAATACACAGCTTTAATGATACACGTGCCCATTTACAGTACAGTGGCTGGATCTGCCTGATCCTCAGCCACTACCTCCACATTTTTACTTTAATAAAATAATGAGTTAGTTTTCACTTTCTCTTCAGTTGTGTTTTCAAAAGGAGCCCTGTAGTCAGGTGATCACAATCACTCACATACATCCTAATATCCAAGAGCTCAACTCCAAATAGTGATTGCCTTCCAAAACAAATGTGCTGAAATTTTCTCCTCTCTCTGTCACACCACTTCATCAAACATTTGATTATACAAACTTGAATCTAGCCAAGGCTACATGGATTCATTGCATGAGGCACTTAAACTTCTGATTAGCACGGTCACATGCATATGACATTCTACATTTCCAGTCACTTCAATCACACGGAACTAGTTAATGAAATACTCCACACTACTAGTGAGCTCAGACTCAAGAGCTTCAAAAACTGTAGGGAGTCCACAGCCTCCATTCACATATTCTTCATTGAAGCAGAAAGTTTTTAATGGTACAGGCAATAAAGTGGGATGAAACAATTAACTTTTTCAATTTATAATTCATGCAGATATCATCTTTAGCAAGTTTCTTAATTATAATTTAATGTGGCAAATTGTAGCAGTATATTGATGTAACATGGTAGTACACTACAGACTGGTAGAAAACTGGGCTGCGTATTTGATTTGTCAAAGAGTTGAGTTTAAACCAAATAAATGGATGAAGGCAATCAGTAGAATAAAAATCCTCTCTTCATTGAAGAAGAGATCCATGCTAACAAAACACTTTTATTCTCAGTTAGAGAACAGCACTTATTTATTTAGTGTAATTTCCAAATATTAAAGATCCAAACTTAAAGGCTTCAAAACATTCCAAAGTGCTTTATAGTCACTGAAGTGATATTGAAGTCCAGTCACTGCTGTAACGAAGGGATATTTGTTCAATTGGTCATGATTTTTGATACTCACTTTGCTGCAGGAATAGTCAAAAACTAGAAGGAAACAACCAAGTATCACCATTATCAGGGAAACAACAGTGGAGGGAAACTTTTGTCTGACTACTGTGTGTTAGTAACATTTTGAATATAGTGGAGAAATTGTCCAAGTTTGTTACTCCTGCAGAATTATAAAAGCTTTCTATTAGTACATGTTTGGCCACAGATTTGCTCAGGCTATGAACAGAACTATGTTTGCTATAACATAAGCATATAACATCTAAAGAACACTTGTCCCAGATTGGAAATAGTCCCAGTTCCCACCTCATCCATCTGACTTAACTATATCAGCATTTCTTCACTGTCACTCTGGGTCAAAGTGGAACCCCATTTCTAACAGTTTTGTGGAGTACATATACCACATGGACTGCAATTTCAAGAATGGGGATCAGGGCTGTCTGCTTGGCCAGGGCAGCCCACAATCCATGCAGGAATTTTAAAAGTTACCATATTGGGACAATGGTAATTCCTTTGTGAAGTTTTCAGATAACATGTTAAATTGAAGTCTACCTGCCTTCCCATTTGGTTGTAATATCTCTCAATGCACTACTCAAAGTGGAGCATGACAGTTCTGTGATGTTCTGGCCAACAACAATACCTGAACTAATATCATGAAAGCAAATTGTCTACTCAATTCGCATTGCTATTTTATGGGATCTTGCTGTGTGACAATTGACTGCCATTTTTCCTACATTACACCAAATGCACTTCACAAGTTCTTCCATGGTTGCAATGCACTTTGTGTCATTCCAATGTCATGGAAGTTATCATGTAAATGCAAGTCTTTCTTTTGTGAAAAGATTCTAATGTCCTATAGCACTTCCTTCGACAAACAATGGGCTGAGGAGCAGCAGGTGGAGTTTAATTTGGATAAATGTGAGGTATTCCATTTTGGTAACACAAAAAAGGGCAGGACTTATACAATTAATTATGGGGTCCTGGGTAGTGTTGTCGAACAGACAGACCGAGGGGTTTGGGTACTTCATTTTTGAAGATTTGCAGCACAGGTAGACAAGGTGGTTAAGAAGGCATTTAGCACACTTACCTTCACTGCTCAGGCCTTTGAGTATAGGATTTGGTACATCATGTTGAGGCTGTACAGGACATTGGTGAGTCCAGAACTGTATGCAGTTCTGGGTGTCCTGTTATCAGAAGGATATTATTAAACTTCAGAGGGTTCAGAAAACATTTACCAAGATGTTGCTGGGAATAGAGGGTTTGAGTTATAAAAATAGTCAGGATAGGCTGGGACCTATGTCACTGGAGCATAGGAGGTTGAGGGGTGATCTTATTGAGGTTTATAAAATCATGAAGGGCATAGATAAGGTGAATAGCAAAGGTCTTTTCTCTAAAGTAGGGGAATTCAAAACTAGAGGGCATATTTTTAAGGTGAGTGGAAAAATATTTAAAAAGGACATGAGGGGCAACATCAGCATGGACTAGTTGGGCCAAAGGGTCTGTTTCCACGTTGTATGACTCAAAGACTCTAAACTCAGAGCAACACATCTGTTGTGAAATTCTTATCACATTGTGAAATAAAACCAGTGAAAATTCACAAGGAGCCATTGAGTATACCCTGCATAGCAATGGAAAATCGGTGCATCCCTAGTCATGAAATGGCAATATTTCTGCCCCAATTCCTTTAACTTAAATAATTAATTGCATCAAAAACTCTGTTGGGAGGAGTATGTCACATGTTTCCATCAGGACAGGTTTAAAATGAAAAGCAGGAATTCTCTCACATTCCCTGTAGCAGACAGCCTCTCATCAGTTCTGAGAACAAAGTACATTTCAGGCTAAGCTGGCTGTTTGCTAAACTCCAATTTACTGCTTCCTCCATGAACTTGTCATCATTTATAATTGTTTAACTCATGATATAGCAAAATACTAAACTGAATAAGGGATAACAACAAAGGTTTCATTATAAATGGAGAAGCTACTTAAGATGAATTTACTCATTTTTCTACCCAATGAACTTATTATTAATTTGCCACAGTCTGAAATTAAAATCACTGCAATCTAGGCAAAACACTACAACTCTTTAAGATGTTGTTTTGCAATCTCCTGTACTGTTCACTTACTGTATCCTGCTTTCCATAGGCTCAGTTATGGACAGGTCAAATACTGTTCATGAGAGCTGCTATAAAGGCAATCCATCAAATCACTCCACCTCCTCATCTACTGCAATTTAAAAATGTAGGACTGAATCACTTAACTTTATTGACACTTCATTTGCCAAACACTCCCAATACATGTGGATCATCTGGTGCTTTGCCCAGCTGTAGTTGCAGATTTAACACATCCCTTGAGCCCAGAGAAGCTGGCATCAGTTGTTGCCATAACAAACTCAATTGTTCTCGGCCGTGCTCAAGCAAATAGAGTCATTAATTACATTCTCTCAACTGCTGTTGGCTGAAACAGCAATCAGTGTGAGACTGTTCATTGCCTTCTCTCAGGGAGCACAGACACATGCAGGAAAAATAAACTGCAACATGAACAGAACCCCACTGACTCGACAGTGCTGTGGCGTGCACAATAACTGCTGTCACACTAATCCTGGGGGTTCAGCCACATTTATTTGCACTGAAACTGCGAGGTGGGAAAGGGATCACATTAAGAGATCATTTTTATCTCATAACGTCAATTTACTTATACTGATTGACTTCCTACCTTCAAAAATCAATTAAATTGCAAATGTCTTTTAAAGGGTCAACCCCTTCCTCCTTCCTTATCGTTGTTCCAACATAATTTGATTTATTTT